GGAGCAAAAGGCAGGACCTATGAATAGCTCTGGCATAGGAAGGCTGTGTTCTTGGGAAAGAAGCAGGAGGCCTAAAAGATGACGGTCAAATCCTGTCCAAGAAATACAAAACCATTGGTTTGCCAGGTCTTACTCTTGGCTGCTCTCAATGGCTCCTCTGAAAAAGTCCAGGGGAGACAACATAGAATAGGCCCACCGCATGCCTCTGGGAACACACAAGACAACTAGATCTCCTGATACTCCTCCCCTGCACCTTGACAATTTGAGGCACCTTCTTTTTAAGCCTGGAGATTATACATCCCCATCATGGCTTGTAACCTGTGGTGGACTTTTCCTCCAGAAATCTGTCCAATCCCCTTTTAAACGCATCTGGGGCAGATGCCATCATCACATTCTATGGCAAGGAGTTCCACAGACTAACACCCTGCTGGGTAAAGAACTATTTTCTTTTGTCTGTTCTCACTCTCCCAACACTCAATTGGAGTGGATGTCCTCTGGTTCTAGTATTGCGTGAGAGGGAAAAAAGCTTCCCTCTTATCAACTTTATCCCCCCCCTGCATAATTATATGTCTCAGTTATGTTCCCCCCCCCCAGAAAAGCAAGAAAGGTAAAATCATTCATTTATTTTACTTTCACAATACAGGACAATAAGACAAAAATTAAAATGTTGTACCACATAGGCTATTTGTTTTGTCCCTGAGTAGATCTGATCCGTGTGTTGATTTCCTTGACTCAAAAATATGTTTAAAATAGCTCAAGATAAACAGACTGAGAAAATGTTTTAAGAAATAACAATCCTGTAGAAGTTTTAAAAATAAAACTAGTACAATATTACAAACTGTTAAGCCATACAAAAATCTGATGGGGAGTACATTCATTCTTCGATTTTAATAGTGATTGTATGAAATATCATTTATATAAATTAACAATTATTTCTGACAAAACTGATGTTTTGGGTTTCCAGATTGCCCCAAACAAATTTGTTTACATTGGGACAATCAGATATTATTGCAGAGCAGTTGGTCCTTCCGTACTGCCTAGGAAAATATTTTTAAAAGAAAATAAAAAGAGGGCAATGCAAGTGTCCGTCACGGTCTGAAATGGCTGCCATTTTTGAGAAAATCAATCGCAGCACAACTGTGCACACCAGACGCCCATGACAGAGCAGTTCCACATTATGTACGGAACAAAAAAAAAGTAGAAGAGTGCTGGCAGAAGGGAAATACTACAGGGTTACCACGGGTAGGCATGACAAATTCCAGCAATGGCCATACATAATATGATCACAAATTTTAATTTCAGTATTAAAGAGGTCCTGCCTGGCTGCAGAGCCATAGGTTGGAAGTTTGATTCTGCCCTGTGCTTCCTGGGAGAACAACCAGCCTGCGTAGCCTTGGGCAAGTGGCACAGTACTAAGCTGCTCCTAGAAGAAGGGAAGCATAAACCACTTCTGAATATCATATACCTAGAAAACCCAAATCAGAAAAAAAAACTCCTGGATTATTCAGTGGAGTTTGCTCCCAATTAAATTTACTCAGGATTGCAGTCCCAAACAGATGCTTATGCTGAAAGCTAATTAAGAACCCCTTCTTGAGCATTCTTCAGAAGCTTGCTGAACTGCATAGCCTTGTCAAAGAAAATGATGATGATTAACAGGGATTGATTTTTTCTGATATCACCTTTGTTAAGTATGAACAAATCTGGTGGGTGGTGGTCCCATAAAAGTGACCTTATGACACCCTTTACCCTTCCTACTTTGCCACAAGAAAGTTCAGTTGTTCAAAGAGTGTCTCATCGAACAAACATCTGGCAGATTGGTATCATTACACTTTCAATGGTTCAATTGCCAGTATAAATTAAATTGGGTTATAAAAATGCACGTCATGAGAAGCTATGTATTATATATTGTAAATATTTACTAACCGAGGGGGTGGGGAAACTGTTCCAAGAAGCTTCTATTTCATAAGAAGAGCCCTGCTGAATCGGGCCAAGGGCCCATCTAGTCCAGCTTCCTGTATCTCACCGTGCGCCCCCCTCCTGAATGCCTCTGGGAGCACACCAGACAACTCCATATCTGTCTCCTGATACCCCTCCCCTGCATCTGGCATTTTGAAGTACCTTCCATTTCCAGCTATGGAATTCATATCTACCCGTCATGAAGATTACCCCACTTAACATAGTTTGAAAAAGGATTAAACAACTCATAGAAGATGAATTTACTGATCACCAAGACAGGTAGATGGGACATTCACTGAGAGGAACATTGTAAATGTTTAGGAACAGATAATATCATCAGGCTGTCATATTCATGAATGCCCAGAGGCATTTTGTTCGCTGGGAGGGACAGAATGGTGGAATGGATTAATTCTGACCTGGTCCTTCAAGATGAACCTTGAAAAATAAGGCATAACACAGAATGCATTGAAATTGCATCCTAAAATGTTTTACTTTTTTGAATAGTTTTCCCCCCATAATTAATGGTAAATTGTCCCTTCCAAGGCTTTGTTAAGAGTCTGAGAACAGGAGCAAGACCTTTAAGCCAAAATATGCTAAAATGACAGCATATTTTGGCTTAAAGGTCTTGCTCCTGTTCTCAGACTCTTAACAAAGCCTTGGAAGGGACAATTTACCATTAATTATGGGGGGAAAACTATTCAAAAAAGTAAAAAAAATTAGGATGCAATTTCAATGTATTCTGTGTTATGCCTTATTTTTCAAGGTTCATCTTGAAGGACCAGGTCAGAATTAATCCATTCCACCATTCTGTCCCTCCCAGCGAACAAAATGCCTCTGGGCATTCATGAATATGACAGCCTGATGATATTATCTGTTCCTAAACATTTACAATGTTCCTCTCAGTGAATGTCCCATCTACCTGTCTTGGTGATCAGTAAATTCATCTTCTATGAGTTGTTTAATCCTTTTTCAAACTATGTTAAGTGGGGTAATCTTCATGACAGGTAGATATGAATTCCATACCTGGAAATGGAAGGTACTTCAAAATGCCAGATGCAGGGGAGGGGTATCAGGAGCTTTTTTGTGTATGTGTGAGTATGTATGTATGTATTATCAATAATGACCACCTTGGGCAGCGATCATGTCACGTGGTCTTTGCCTTCCCTGCGACTTGTAGGGTAGTGTCAAGTTTTTTTTTCTAACTCTAGAACTTCCTCCCAACAGGAGGCCAGGTTGGATCCATCTTTGCTGTCCTTCCGCAAGCAGGCAAAGACATTTCTGTTCAAGCAAGCTTTCCCTTAGTGACTAGGGAAACCTGAGTGGGGATTTTGAATGGATTCTTGTGTCTTACTGCTTTGAATATATTTTTGGTGTTGTTTCTGTCTGCTATTTTTTAAGTGTGGTTTTTTGTTCAATCCTTTGTAGTATTTGTATACTTATTATTTTTAGATGTAGATCTTGTCTTTTAATTATATAAACTGCCTTGTGGTTTTTTCTAAAGGAGAAAGGCGGGGTGATGCAGTTCTTCTTTGGGGAGACTCGATGAACCGTAGGATCCCTTCCTGCTCTGCAATTCTAAGATTAAGATAAGATTGTAGATAAATGACCATCATGTTAATAGAGATGATTTTTTTCTACTTACCCTTTAAGCATTCCTCTGCATTTAGCATACTAATACCCCAGCGTGTGGTATGGTGTTTAGAGTCTTGGATTAGAACTTGGTGGACTTCGATTAAAATTTTCTCACTTTGTGAGGAAATTCATTGGGTGTTGAGGCAGCCACAGTCGCTTCACTTGTGAGCCAAAATGGGGGAAAGGAAAGACTTGTATACAAAATATTTACTGAGGTAAACCCTACTGTGTTTCATAGGCTTTATACTCTGTTCACAAAATTAGTCATAGGCTGCAATGTTAAGCCTAGTTACAATACAAGCCTATATTACATCTTTTTAGACACAAGTCCCCACTGAAATGATTCACCTAGTATCCTACTGGGCTTCTTTCTGCACAAGGGAATGGTCACGCCGTTAGTGGGACCGAAGGGATCCAATTATCAAGGCAGGGCTTTGCTAACTTGCCCAGATTGACACGTGACATCGGAGGGCCCTACGTGAGAATGGCCGAGGGGCGTGGGCCATCAGAGGGCATTTAAAGGGGTGCACCCCCATTGTCTTTCGTCAGCCATGCTGAACTGGCAACCCACCCGGCCGCCCTATTTTCTAGTGTGAGATTAGCTGGTCACCCTGTAGGGGGCTGGATAGGAATTTTTGACCCATCACCCAATTGGCCACTGGAGGCAGGGATGTTTCGCCAATCCCACACTGGAGTAGGAGCGTCGGCCGGTCAAGGGTGGTAGCAATTTGGTCACACGGGGTGGGTAGTGTGGAGTCAAAGGCATTGGATATTGGTTTCTTGGGTAGTGGCACCAAATTTCAGCGCATCTGAACTGGCAGCACGCCCGGGCAGGCAATCACGTTGCTAGGAAGTAAAAATGCACTGGAAACACTCCCAGACCCCCGGAAGGCACAGAGAGAAGGAAGGAGTCCGGGGAAATTCAGAGGCCGTCACTTATTCCATGGTAATAACGAAGGGAATAACTGAGGCCTGAGCCCAGCCTCGCAGCTGGGCAAGGGTCAACCTAATACCCAACAAGGAAGTTGAATCCGCACTACAGCAAGACCCCCCCTTTCCTAAAAGATTGGCATGTTCATGAAATGGAATGGGATTTCAATAAAGTGTGGCTCATGTTTAACCCATGTATCTGGTCTCGCGTGGTTATTCCGGCATAAGTGGGCAAAGTCCATTCAATGTAATAACATGGGATCACAGTGCTTGTGAGAACCTTATTTTGCACAAGCCGTGGATACGAGTCCTAAGAGTCCTACATGCGGGAACAATTGTTACATAACATTTTGAATCCTCGCCTTCTGCACACTATGATATTTTCCTTAACGCATTCTTCGTATTTCCTGTTTTGAGATTTCCTGTCTCCTTAGTCTTTACCATTCTTTTCCCAATAATGATTTTTGTAGTTCTCTGTAGTATTCACTAGTGTTTAAGAATTAGCCTAAAAATAAAGCTAGGGATGTTGATAGTTCTAGTTTATCAATAGAGTTGAAAAGCAAAGACGACAAACGCTTTCTTAGGGTAGAGTTATTGAATGATTAATTCATAAGGGAAAGTTCATAGGAGTTCGTATGAGTTCATAAGGGAGAGTTGGAAGTTTGTTAAATATTAGTCTTCCAGGAGGTGGAGTTAAATATACTGGAGCGTAGCTCTTTAGGGACTAAGCAAGGTGTAAGCGAGTGTAAATCTCTGTCATTAAAGGTTTTATGTAACTGTACAGTAAACAGCCTACAGCTCGTCGCCAACAACAGAACTTCAACTACAGCTGTTGAACACTTTAGAAAGACAAGACAAGACACAACAATACCATTCTTGGTAAGTCAATGCTTGGATCTCTTTCCTGGGTTATATGCATAACATAGGTTGGCTCTTTATGGCTTATGGGATCAACTTCACCCTCCCAGAATCCCCAGATTTACCACATGAAACTATCATCAGGCTACTGTAGTTGTGTAAGACTTGGTAATACACACTTTGGTCATTTTAAAAATAGAAATCATTTGTCAAAATCTTAGTCAAAAGGCTGAGAAACAATGAACTGTGTGTGTGTTATTGTTATTTTTTAAAAATTAGAAATTAAAAGCCACACTGAAGTATTATGAATCATATTGCAACCTCTACCCATTCCTTCTATGTATGTCATTGTTTAAAATGTGTGTAAGGAGGGAATTGGGAGGGAATCAAGCTAAATAAATTCAGCTCGGAACGACACCACAAATGCTAATGATTAATTCCACAAAAACTGCAGACAAGAAAAAAGAAGAATGAGGAGATGTGGAAGGAGAGTAATGAAGGGATTAGAAAAGATTATCAAATGTAAAGATCTGTCACACTCTTGTATTTCTGATCCGTATGAATGGGTATGAAAGCTGGACAGAAAAGAACACTGGCAGGGGAAAATTATTTGTTTGAAATGATGCTAGAGGAGAACTTTGCACTTTGTGGATATCCTGTACTGCCAGAAAGATGAACAAGTGGGTCCTACAGCAAATCAAGCCTGGAGTATCTCTGGAAGCAAAAATAAATAAATAAATAAAATAAAAATAAAAATCATGAAACTGAGGCTGTCATACCTTTGTCACACATGAAAAAGCAAGATTCTCTAGAAAATATACTATAATGCCGGGGAAGGTTGAAGGCAGCACAAAAAGAGGGAAAGCAAATATAAGATGGGTTGAATCTCTTAATTTACAGAAGTTGAGCAGGATTGTTGAGGGCAAGACATTTTTAAAATCATCCATTCGTAGAGTCATAATAAATTGGAGTCAACTTGATGACAAATAACACCAACAATAATTCTACGAAACAGTAGCAGACCCACCTATCCTAATAATCTGTATCAAAATCAACATGGTAAACCCAAAGTGAAGATGCAACACAACAGTGCTTCCCCCTTTAATATTTTCTTTCTATTCTGGTCTCCATCTTTCATGAATTCATAATAATTGCAGGCTAGTACTATTGACTATTAATGGGACAAATGTTATATCGACTTTTTCTTTTATATCCTCAGTTTAATATTGCATGTTTCTTTAAACCCATACTGTCTATAATCTAATATTCTGGGACACTCTGTTTCTTCCCTAGGCACAGACGGGAAGTGAAACTCAGATAGACATGAGTAAAAGGGTTGATGGCTTGGATTCAGCAGACAGTGAATCTGGTACCAAAAACAAAAGGTAGTTATTTTTCTGCATTTTTAGTTAATGAGGACATCCACAATGCTTTCTTTTGTAGAGAGAAAGAATCCTTTAGAAATGTTTGACACTCTAAATCTATCTGATACTGTATATTGTAGTCAATTTACTGGTTGTTTCTTGGATGTTAAGGAAAACAGCAACAATTAATACTGTGTTCTATTATGCTGCTTCTTTTTTCCTTTCTTTTTCCTGTGAGAACTTAATCTCCTTTGTTTTGATGCTGTTATCAATCTTGTTGGTATCCTTGTTGGTATCCTTATCTGCTTGTGTGTACTTTAACATTTATTATGCTTTTTTTACATAAAGGATTTACAATACTGTGGATTATTTTTTAAAATAAAACAAAGTAAAAGAGTGCTGCATGCTACTGTTACGTTCTTGACTGCTATTGTTACGTTCTTGACTGCTCAATGATCAAACCTGGTTTCATCACCAGTGTATTAAATGTTTTGGATATTCATATTGTTGCCAGCTTTGTTCTCATGTTTTTTAAAATAGTGTTTTAGCCAAAATTCTACTGCAGACCAATATATGGATTTTTGCCAGCCATGTATAATTTTGATTGGATTTCTTATTCTCCTTCCCCATTGTCTGTACGGATATGTATTAAAAAAACAGGCTGTGTTCGTCCTATCCCTGCCTCCCTGTTCTAGGAGGAAACTGTGCCTGTTGAATGTCTACATGACATGTTATTTTTAAAAGCAGAAAACCGACCAGGGGACAGGACATGGTGCAATTACGACGATGCCCCATTGATATTATAACAGAAATTGAAATAATATGGAAGATATTGTTTGGAAAGTAGCAAATGATTTCATCAGGGCAAACCCTAAAAATAGAGAGTTTGTATTGAATATCTGAGAGCCATGAGAAGCACGATTACCTCAGGTCAATTTTTGTCTCACTGAAGACAAGGGCTGGGATCTTGTTGCTTAGTGTAGTATGACACAAGTAGAACCCCTGAATTAGTGGAGATCTGGTGAGTCATGTTCTCTGTTAAGTCTCATTGATTCGGTGGACCTGCTCTAGTTGTGACTTGCTTAGCTAAGCTACAGGACTTCATCCAAAGTCTTCTGGCAGATTATTCCAGCAATGTTGTAAGTGGGGGCAAGGGAGAAGAGAAAAGTAGACAGATTTTCACTTGAAATAATTTGCAACCTCATTGATTTTTTACAACTAAAGCAATTGAAACTTCTATATTTTGTGCTTTTGTTATTGTTTATTTTCAAAAGGAAAACATATCCTTCTGGCACATCTTGGAATAGTTACGTCCGACTGACTCCTTAACTTTAGATCCCTTCTTTCTCATTTTGTCACAGAGATAATGTTGCAAAAAAGAGCTCCTTAATTGAGCTCTGTTTGCAACTATCCATTATTAACATCAACTATATGGGCAAGGGTCGCCAAAAGTCTGAATTGACTTGACGGCATATGATTATGATTTATTATAAGACTGCTGAGATAAATTTAGCAAAGTCCATAATAGCGGGGGGGGGGTGGGAGAGGCAATTTGACACCTATGGAGGAGTGAGTGAGTGAAATGTGTTGGTGGCTCTCAAAACAAATCAATGCTCTCTGTTTGGACCTGTGTCCTTCTCCCAGTTCAAAGAGCTTTCTTTTCCCCAAACCTACCGTCTGGGTTGTTGATCATTTCATTTTACAGAGGAAGTGCTTGTAAGAATGATTGTTAAAAGGATGAGAAGGGAAGGCAAGAAAAGAAAAATATTAACCATTTGTAGAAGTCTAATTGAAGTCTACACAAAGAGCAAAATTAACGGGGCCACAGCTCAAAAATGGTGGGGGGTGAGGACTGAGGGTAATGATCTAGAGAAGAATAAAAAACAATATGACTGTTGAAATGTGGCAATGAAGAAAGGAGGCTGGTGAGAGGTATGGTAGGCCAGAAATGAGAACCGTGACTCTTTCTAGGTATTGTTCAACTTCAAATCTTCTTGTCCCTCACCACAGACTGTGTTGGCTAGGGCTGAGGGAAAATGAAGCCTAAACATGTCTTGAGGACCACATTTCCCTTATTTATTTATTTTATTTTTGGAAGATAGTAAATGTCTGGAGAGAAAGTCTGGTTCAAATGGCCACATTGCTTTGCCTATGTGGTTTATTATGGGCCTCACACCTGTTCATTATAAACATGTCACCTGTGCAGCAGGGCCATCTCATTGGAATTATTCCAAAGTGGCATTTCTCAGCATTAATCATGTTCTAGCTGATTATTGTGGCATTTGGGGTGCACCGTGCAGGCTGAATGCCTTGAGGATGGTGTGTGGCTACGTCTTACCTGGTTTCTCTAGGCCGTTCCCTGACACATGTATTAAATACAAGACCCACTGAATGCATAGGCACGGAAATGGTTGTCTGCTCTCATTATAATGACCCCATTTTGCCTGTGGTCCTAGGCGGGACCAAACCTATGAATAAAACTCTGAGGAGTGGGCATGGCATATACATTTTATCGTATGCATGCCTTTAAAAGAATCTTTTTCAATCTATTAGTAGCCAACAGTAGCTTGGTTGTAGAACTGATTTAGGAGACTTCCCAAATATCCAGGTTGGAGAGACAAGGAGAAATAAAGACAAACAGTTGCCACGTGCAGTCAAAAAGTGATTAGCAGTGTCTGTTCATGTTATACTTTCATGTAAACTGTGTTTCTTGTTGTTGTTTTCAACTGTTATGTTTCTTTCTTCATTTTTAAAAATCTCGTCATACGCTCTTCAGCAGTAAAGAAGAGAAAAAGAAACAGAAACCTCCAATGGTCAGCCCCTTTGCAATAGTAAGTTCTTTTAGTGATGTATGTATTTATTTATTTGGCCCAGCGCAGACTTAATGATGTTGGTTTTTAAAAGAACGTTGCAAGGATTCATTGTACATTTTAGTTATTTGGTTACTGCTTTGGGCTAGGGCAGTGGCGGCAAACCTTTTTGGGCCTGGATGCCCAAACTGGGGGGGGGGGAATGTTGTGCGGGTGGTGTGCCGCAGTGGTGGCAGAACTGGACGTGGCAGCGGAAGGGGGAGGTGCCTCGAGACTCCATTCCAGATACACCACCAGCGCCAGCTGCTGTGGATTCGGGCCTGCCACCTGTCGAAGCGCCAGCACCAGCCAGTGGCAGCTGCTGCAGATTCGGACCTGCCACCTGTCGAAGCGCCAGCAACACAGTTGCAGCTGCCTCCTGAGGTTTGGCTGCGGGGACGGAGTAGTGATCCAGCAACTTATGGGTCGCCTGCCAGCAGAAAGGGCTCTGCGTGCCAGGTTGAAGTAGTGATCCGGCAACTTATGGATCGCGTGCCAGCAGAAAGGGCTCTGCGTGTCAGGGGTGGCATAGGTTCGCCATCGCTGGGCTAGGGTTTCTTTGCTTCAAACTTTGTTCATTTTGGCATTCTCAGATAGCATTGTGAGATTGTGGTGATGTTTGTCTGATGAGTCCAGTGGAGGCTAGTAGCTGGATGTCAGCGGGGCCGTGAGTCCACCTCAGAGTTGCACCAGAGGGGATTCAGCATCTTGGGCACCCCCTGAAGAGTATGGACTGAAACCCCTCCCCACGGTGGCTGCAGCACTCCACTGGTAGGAGAGTGTAATTCACACCCGGAGGGCAGCAGAGGATCTTAGGGGCCTGTGGGAGCTACCGTTTGGTTTTCCATCCCATTGCAATGGAAAGCAAAACGGTAGTTGACAGGTCGCCTGCCCTGTGCCCTTAAACTTGCCTGCTGCCCTCAGGCACGATGGATGCCCTCTCGCAGCTGCTCCCTGTTGATAACACTGAGAGGTGTTCCCTCCACAAATTAAAATGTCAAAGCTTTGAAACCACAGCGGTCAAAGTTCAGTTTCTTGTAAGGTGCTAATTGCAAACCTTGGGTTGCTGCTGTGAGGCGATTTGTACACCTTTGAATTTGAGTAACACTCTCCCACTAATAGGGATGGTGTTCCATGTCTAATCGCGCTGGCCACGTGACCACGGAAACTGTCTTCGGACAAATGCTGGCTCTACGGCTTGAAGACGGGGATGAGCACCGCCCCCTAGAGTTGGACATGACTGCACTAAATGTCAAAGGGAGGCTTTACCTTTACCTCCCACGTATATGAATTATTCCGTGTATGTTGATTTAGAGTTGGACATGACTGCACTAAATGTCAAAGGGAGGCTTTACCTTTACCTCCCACGTATATGAATTATTCCATGTATGTTGATTATAATTAAATGCAGTCAAATTATTTTTCACATAAGGCTTTCTAATTTTCAGTTTCGTTATGCTGACTGGCCGGACACTTTACTAATGGCAGCAGGCACGCTGTTCGCAGCCGTTCATGGAGCTTCCCTTCCTGTCATGATGATTGTTTTTGGAGATATGACAAACTCCTTTGTGCAGTCTGGAATGCCTCCTATAAGTAAGTCTTAATTCTTCCTGTGATTCAATAAATAAATAAATAAATATTATATGAACACAATCTTTTACTAGGGCAGCTTAAAGGTTGCAGGGTAAGCTTTTGAACTTTCAGGGCTAGAGTGGGCATAGTAGACCTCAAAGGCCACATAAACCCTCTCAGACTGCTTTTTGCAACCTTCTGCTCTCCTATAACCCTCCCTGCTTTTTTACTTGGACAAAAGTGGTGGATTGTTATTCCTGAAAGGTTACAGGACTGGTTATTCACCTTCTAAATACTATAGGTTGCAACGATCCCCTAATTTATTTTTGTTAACTTTGATGTGGGGACTTTGGGGGCTGCATTTGGACTTCTAGAGGGCTACATATTGCCTACCCCTGCTGAAAGTAGACATCTAGCTATTTCCAGTCTCTTTTCTTTTTTAATTTTGCCTCTCCAATTTTTGGCAATCTGTCCATTCTCCAGAATCAGAAAATCATCCCCTGATGATTTTCGATAACACATTCCCTGATAGTTAGCTAGGTGGAGTGCCTATGTCTATATCTATATCTGTATCTGCATCTCTGTATCTGTATCTGTATCTGTATCTGTATCTGTATCTATCTCTGTATATCTGTATCTCTGTATCTCTGTATCTCTGTATCTCTGTATCTCTGTATCTCTGTATCTCTGTATCTCTGTATCTCTGTATCTCTGTATCTCTGTATCTCTGTATCTCTGTATCTCTGTATCTCTGTATCTCTGTATCTCTGTATCTCTGTATCTCTGTATCTCTGTATCTCTGTATCTCTGTATCTCTGTATCTCTGTATCTCTGTATCTCTGTATCTCTGTATCTCTGTATCTCTGTATCTCTGTATCTCTGTATCTCTGTATCTCTGTATCTCTGTATCTCTGTATCTCTGTATCTCTGTATCTCTGTATCTCTGTATCTCTGTATCTCTGTATCTCTGTATCTCTGTATCTCTGTATCTCTGTATCTCTGTATCTCTGTATCTCTGTATCTCTGTATCTCTGTATCTCTGTATCTCTGTATCTCTGTATCTCTGTATCTCTGTATCTCTGTATCTCTGTATCTCTGTATCTCTGTATCTCTGTATCTCTGTATCTCTGTATCTCTGTATCTCTCTCTCTCTCTCTCTCTCTCTCTATCTATCTATCTCTCTCTCTCTCTATCTATCTCTCTATCTCTCTATCTCTCTATCTCTCTATCTCTCTATCTCTCTATCTCTCTATCTCTCTATCTCTCTATCTCTCTATCTATCTATCTATCTATCTATCTATCTATCTATCTAAAAGCTCTGTCTGTCTATCTGTCTATCTATCTATCTTAAGCTGACCACTGGCTAATGATGGGATACTGTCATTCAAAGTCCCCTCAAAAAGTAAGTGTGTGTGTGTGTGTGTGTGTGTGTGTAAAGCAAAGTCACTCCACCCAGGTAATCATCAGGGTTTTTTTTACATACACACACACACACTTTTGAGGGGACTTTGAATGACCGCATCCCGTCATCAACCAGTGGTCAATTAAATTCTCCTGAGAAAGAAGGCTATTACTTTTTTCAGGGGAGGGGAGAGGCTTGATCCAGTGGGTAGTCTGAATTGGACTATACTCGTTGACTGATTAAATCCATTAGATCTACCAAAGTGTTGGCTCAGAATTCCGCAGTTGATCCAATTTGTTTACTCTGGCTAGAAGCAGGAATTCCAAAGTACAAGGGTGCAAGTGCATCAAGAGTGAATGAATCCTTTAGGCCATTGGTTCTTAACCTTGGGTTACTCAAGAGTTTTGGACTGCAACTCCCAGAAGCCTTCACCACTAGCTGTCCTGACTGGGGTTTCTGGGAGTTGCAGTTCAAAAGCATCCAAGTAACAAAGGTTAAGAACCACTGCTTTAGGCAACTGGAAGATATGGGCTTTTTCATATACTCATGATTCCATATATTATAATATGAAATATGTAAAACATTTGAATCGTAACAACAAACAACTATGAAATACGGAAAACATTTGAATCGTAACAACAAACAACTCTTCTTGTGGAGGCCAGAAGCAGATGTTCGAAACTGCCTCATTAATTTCTGCACATCAACATGCTTTCAACGATAATTACAGGCTCCTTCTTTCATCTGTTTCTGCCTAAGACCTGAAAATAAAAGTCATTTGCACAATATGTAATATGAAACTATAATTCCCATTCTGGTCACACTAAAGCGGGTCAGGGAACTAAACATGGTAGTTACTAACCAGAGGCAAGGCTGTAAAATTTCCATAGGCACAGGCAATGTTGAAAAATACAACACTTGCTATAGAAAATTAAGCATTTAATGAGCAGCAAAGTTCTTTGTTGTTTTTCCTGTAACATATTTATCCCTGGATGTTTATGGGAAAATGAGATGTCCATAACAGAATTTTGGAATCAGTCTTAGCGATGGCCTTCAATAATTGTTTCACAACTTTTCATTTTTTCCCCCTACATAGATATTTCTCTTGATAATATTGATTTCCTCAATATTTCTCAGTATCGAAATGAGACTCTACAGGAACAAATGACAAGGTACCTTGATATATATCTTCTAGTCTTTATATTTATGGGAGGGGGTACTTTTCATGTTACTCAGTATCTGAGATGTTCTTGCATCTGTTTCATTTTGTTTGTTAAAAAAAGCACTGCATTCTTTAATACAAAATATTCCTTTTTATATTATTCACATGACATGAATCTGAAAATTTATTTATTAACTGAGTAACACAAATTAAATATTGAGATATTTTAATATCAAGATTAATTACACTGCTGGACTTTCATCGCTATACAGTACTGGGAACTATTCTTCCATGAGTGCTCGTTGGTCAACCACAGTGAAGAAAGTTCTGTTTTCGAAAACCTGCATAGAAAGAATGTTGAAAAAAATATATTGATTACAACCAGCCAGGCTGACTCAAGTTATTTCATCATCCTGGTCAGAAGACAGAATGGCTATCTCCTCCTCATCCCCCACGCAGAAGGTTTTGGTTGATGAGCAGGCATCTTCCACCATACCCAATGCAGCAAGCCATTTTAGGGGGAAATGAAGAAATCGTGTTGCGTCCACTGCTCTGCCTTCCAGGGCACTGGATGGAAAGCAAGATGCCTGAGTAGTTCACGAGAAACTATCCAGACTCTGCCTCCTAGCATCATCCTCCGAGACAGTCACCTCCCTCTGCCCAGTGTTAGAGCTGGCCCTGCAACTATGAAAAAATCACCATGATTTAAGGCAATAACGTGGTAATTGTTATTTGCATCTCTTGGCTTAGGCAAAATTGTTGGAGTAACAGGCAAGCCAGGCAAAACTGTGGAAAAATTAAACTCTGGGAAGAGGTTATAATAGTTGTTATTCTCAAAGGAATGTTCTGAAAACCTGGTTTCATGATCCCATTTTTCCTTTATTCTCTTGTTTTTCTTTTACTCTCTTGCTTAGTGTGTCTGCTTCAATCTTTTCTCTCTTTTCCAGAGAGACCTGGTTAAAAATATATAGCAAGTTAATTTAGTACTTTTTCATATATAGTATATAGTTTAGACTTTGGTCTTCTAAAGACCCAACCCATGCTTTAATTAGGAAAGAGAAGTCTGTATCCTGACATAGAGGCATGCCTCTATTTGCCCACCTTTGAAACACAATGAATCCCAAATAGAGTAGATTTTGAGAGAATCTTGTGGCACCTTAAGATTTCATGGCCCATAGCCCACCACTGCAAATGTGTGCACTGACAGCTGAAGTTTGTTACATTCATATCAGAAAAGAACTGAACTGCTGTTCATGAGAGCTTATGCCAACTAAAAGTTGAGGTGCCCCAAGACTCCTTTTTGTTTTTGTTACAGTACTTACATGGGTATTATCACAGAAACACACCCAACCCCCCAACCCCCAGTGAAGATGTGCACAAGGTATTGTTCTTAGATTCTTTCCACACTGGTACGTAGTTATATTTGGTTCCCTGACATCACTGTTCGGAATGGGGGAAAGGGCCTTGTCTGCTTCTTTTTCTACTTAAGATGATTCATCCCTCCCCTTTAAGAGCTGCTCTGCATATTTATGGAACAAGGCTAGGGCAAACAGTCTACGTATTTGGGACTACCTTGGAGAACTTTTTAAACATTGCCTGGATCACAGTGTGGACAAGCTCTTAGTCTAAAGCCAGGTGCAACACTCAGGCAGAGCCTTATCAAGAACAGTGATTCTTAACTTTGGGTTACTCAGATGTTTTTGAACTGCAACTCCCAGAAACCCCAGCCAGCACAGCTGGTAGTGAAGGCTTCTGGGAGTTACAGTCCAAAAACACCTGAGTAACCCAAGGTTAAGAACCATTGATCTAGAACACTCAAGAACTGAACAAAATTTTGGCAACATTCCCTTTCTCCAGCCTCTATTGTCCAGGCTGAAATGGTGTGGCTCCTGGCTCATTTTTTCAGTTGTTTTCTGATGCCAAATCAACAGCATGAGGAGTGTTGATATAGAAGTCATGCATTTCAGCTTAGGCTCCCTTTATTTCCATTGCTTGTTCATTCTCCTTAACTGTTTTCCCATTCTTCAACTTTTCTGTCATCATACGTATTTGTTTTATGACATTTATAACTCGCCTTTAGACTACTAGATAGTGTTCAAAGTGGCTTACTATCACAAAACAGAATTAAAAAGAATATTCAGCCATAATCCGTATGGAAGTCGCCTAGAGTGAAGGAGAAAATGTTGTCCTTTGTGCCTGTTAACTAGGTGTCTGCAGCTGTTGATATTCTTGGGAGGCCCTTACCCAAAGACCTCAACATCCAGATGGAGCCACAGCAAGATAGCCAAGCCCCAAGCTGTTTTGGGTTTTAAAGGTTAAAACAAGGATTTTAAATTGGACCTGTTAAGTAGTTGGCAACCAATGAAAGGCTTTCAGCTTATAAACTATTTTGCCATGCATTATATCAAATGAAGATGTTGGACCCTCTTCAAGGGTAACCATGCATGGAGCGCATTGTAGTAGTCAAGGCATGATGTAGCTAAGGCATAGATGACCATAGCCAGGTTAGGTCTGCTTTGAAAGTTTGTTAGCTAGTGCACTAAGCAGAGTAACGGAAAGCTACGTCTCATCACCACTGCCCCCTGGGGTCCCCAAAGAAAACACACAAAATCAAGAAGCGTTCCCAAATAATAAGTTAAGCCAATCAAGGGGACTGCAACCTAATGAATCCCCAGGTCCGATTTTCTACTGATTACTAGCACCTCTGTCTTGTCAGAACATAATTTCAGCTTGCTTAGCCACACGCAGCTTGTTATCAAGATCAGGAAGTGTTCAAAGGTCCTCACTGTTGCCTTGGTATCCGGTGATAAGAGGCAATAGAAGTGGGTGTCAGTTGCACATTGCTGGCTCCTCATCCCAACATTTCGAATGCCATCTCTCAGCACCTTCATGTAGACGGTGAATAATGCATGGGATGGGTTAGAGCCCCGAAAGACATCATGCACATAGAGTGTAGCCATTTAACACCCCTTCCCTCCCACTCTATCCTGCTGTGCAATCTAGTGAATAATGTTGGATGAAACAAACTCCCCTTTCTTCTCTCAACCAGATAGAAGCCAAGTTCATATCTTCATCCAGAATCAAATCTTGGAACAATCGATGTGTCCCCTGAGCAGAAGCTTTCTTAAGAACCCAAAACTCATCACTAGACCGAAGGGGCTGAGGGTTGGGCTGAGCTGAAGAGAAACTTTGGTAGCTGTCTGTAGAAGAGACAGCAGGTGGCTCCCAAATCCAGACGAAGGAGGAGCCCACTTTTTGTCTCAGTT